CCAGAGAGGTAGTGGAGTCTCCTTCGCTGGAGATATTCAAAACCCGTCTGGATGTGATCCTGGGCAATATGCTCTAGAGGTCCCTGCTTGAGCAGGGGGGTTGGACTAGATGACCTCCAGAAGTCCCTTCCAACCGCAACCATTCTGTGATTCTGTAAATGAAATAGTCTGGCTCATGAAAGTGACTCTGGCTGGCCTAGAAATAGGGAACAGACAGAGAAAGGAGAGACAGGTATGTTCAGACTGCCATTTCACATCTTACTTTGGTGGCTGATCATTGTGATGCTTGCAAGTGAATACAGTAGTAAGTGTTTGAAAAACTGTTCCTGCAGTGATACACTTACAAACTTAATGCCAAAGCTGAGAGCTGAATGATGTTAGTACATACACTTAACATCACAAGAGGAATCTACGCTACACTCCTGGTCAAGGTCCTGCATCCCTCAAGATCAAAGGATTTCAGTCTTGCAGAGGAAATACATTTGGCAGGAAGAAAGTCAATAAGAAAAAAAACTATGATGTTTTAAATCCATTTTTAAAAGATGCTGATATGAGTGTAACCTAACTGGTTACCTACACAACTGTTCTTTAAAAAGCTGCTGGCTTTAGCCTAAGAGCCTTGAGCCTACTTCACAGAGTAAAGAGTCACAAACTATAAAAGTGAGGAGCTACTGAAAAGAGAAAGTCTTTTTTTTTTTTTTTTAAGGAACACTTGAAAAGAAAGTGAAACAGATTGAAGTTAACAACCACTCATCTAGTTGCACAGCCTCTTCCTCCTTCTAACCACAGAGCGTATTACCATACTACCTATTGTACATGCTATTGAAAATGTCAGGTACGGCTACACCAGAATGCTACGTGGCGATCCCCAAGATAGCTCTAAACGAGCTAGCTCTGTAGCAGAAGCAGAATCACCACAGTTTTGTGGGCTAATTGAACTGGTGTGGCTACACGGATCCCAGGACTCAAGCTATTTTTGAACTGCATTGCACTGCAGTATGCTGACATACAAGCTGATCTGTGTTCCCATATACTGCTGTATTGCACAATACTGTTACGCACACAAGTCTGATATATTCAACACACACTTCATCCTTCCTTCAGTCCTACCACAAAGCATGAACTTACATGCCTTTATTATCTTCCTGATGCCTGCACACAGTTCACAATATGGCAGGTTGTGCATGCAGAGGAGCACAAAGCTCAGTTCTTGCCTTGGGTTTTTTTTTTTTTTTAAAGAAATTGTTAGCACTGCACCACAAGGTTCACAGAGAGGTAAAAGCAAAGGCTGTGTCAGAAGAAATCCACACATGTAAGTTCAAAGGTCTCTACTAGTACACAGATAATTTCTGTGTAGTAGCCACAGTAGTCAAATACTTCCCAGGTGTAGCAAGTCGATATGCTTTAAAACATGGACTCAAATAAAGACTAGCTCCATTACATTGTCCTATTATATATCCATATGCATGAGTGCTCATTGCATGTGCAAAGACGTTGGAAAAGGACAGATAATACAATGGCTGCAGAAAAGTTTGGTGTAGATCTTACAGGTGTGAAAGTTTTTGGAAAGGCTTTGGTGTCTTACAGTGAAAAGCTTCTTGTGTATGGTAGAACTGAATCTGGGACTCAGCATGCTGGAGAACAAGGAGCAAATACAGCTAAGCAGCGCTACTGTAAATCTAACAGCCACCTCAGCGTCACTCTTGATGCACTCATGTAGCCTTTGCAGAATCAATGAAGTGTATCAGTACTGCTCCTCCTAGGACTCCAGTTTCTGGCAGAATGCAACACAAAAAACAACTCTGGGTCTACCATCACCATCCACCTCTTAAACCCTGCCTGAAACCTGGGTCTGCTTCTTGAGCACACTGCAGCAGAGTTCTTCAGAATTTTGAATCTTGTCCTTTAGAATCCAACTCAGCTCCAGCTGGGTTAGCATTTTTCTAAGTCACCTAAGGATGTCTGTGCTGTGCTTCCTATTACCCAGAGTAACTGGGTTTTTCCGTTTTCCAGGGCATACCAGCTCCTCTACTATAGATGACTGAAACAGTCTGCGCTAACAAGGACAAACTGCCTCTGTCCTTTTAAGTGGTGTTCTTATTTGTCTCCTGATTTCCATCTGCTGTAGCTATGACATGTACCAAGCGTGTCTATTTTTATGTCTCCTCATCCAAACTTGTGTGTCACGTACTGACTGGGTAGGTGTGTTCTCAGCTCAAAACACATTAATCACCTGCTACATTCAATATTGCCTGTCAAGAGTTCAGCATATCACTCCTAGCAAAGGACCTAAAAGTCTGGACTGGCTCACATGCATCCAGGGGTCAGATCATTTGTTTGTTGGGGGGGTGGCTTTTATGTATCTGTCTCTTTTGATGACAGTTTTCAAGAACATCTCTGCCTGTGCATGTGAATTTAAAGAGTTCCAAGCAGGAGAAGTGGGAGGGAGGATTTATATCAGGAGCCTCTCAAACTAAGATACAAGCACTACTGAGGAACACTTTATGTAAGAACTCATCTTAACTGCAGTGCTCAAAATCATGAGACAACTCATCAGAAGGCAAATGGACAAGCATGAGGACAACAACTTCACTATAGAGGCCCAGCTATTCAAGCATTGTTGAGAAGGTCTAGCTTACGTAAGAGCAGCTCTGAAGCTGTGGTAAAGAACTTTCAAGGTTTGAATAGTACTTGGATTCAGCGAATGCTGTTGACTTCACATAACTGTGGAGCCAGGATGTGAAATGAACTCCTCTGCATAGCCACCTACCATTGTACAGCATCCACTGTCATCCACAGTACAGAACTGACCCACAAAGTTACCTAGAGATAAATAACACAGAATCAGTTTGTACTTGATATTAACTTTTAAAATATTGTTTGCCCAGCAAGGCACTGGGACATTAGCAGAAATAAAATCTGGCCAAATAGCATCAAATAAGCAAAGTAGCACATAACAAAAAAAAGCCAACAGACCTACCCTCAGTTAAGAACAGTAATACTAAGGACAGCTATGGTATACAACGTGGACTTCAGAAAAGCTTAGTTAAGCTAAACTTACTCCAGTAAGTCAAAAATAGTTTGTCAGGGCCACCTCATAACGCAAAAGCAAAATAAATTTAGGTTGAATGAATCTAACAGTATTCCTGGTCTAGAAATTTGGAAATGCAGCTACTCAGTAATCTGCACAAACGGATAGTTCGGTTAGATAGATAAATCCCTTTAATTGATGAAATCAAAATACTCAAGTTTTTCCATTCGCTCACTAGCACTCTATTCATGCATGCAGCTAAAGATTTTCCCAAATAAATTTTAAACCTACAGTGCCTTCCTCCCATGTTTCCTAGGAAACAGTACATTAGTATACTGTGAGGTGGCATCAGCGTATTAAAATTCAGTCCAGCCTTCTTCTAGATTTTATCATTTTAAATGTTTAGAGTATTAAGTAATAACTTAAAATTAAGAAGCACATAGGCTTTTTATTTCAATTATAAACTATCTTCTCTTAGGCACCCACAGTTACCATGTCTGGGACATTATAAAAGGCAGATTAACCTCAGAGTTGATTCTAAGTTCCATGGATGTTTACAACAAGAGGAATAACGTAAGATGCAAAATGCCCTCAAAACTTAATATTCTACTTGAATTATTCTCCATGATGAGAGTCAAATTGAGAACATTTAAACAGGTGTTTAGCAAGCAACTTTAAATAAATAAATAAATAAGCAAGCCCTAATCATGTCATAGTCTCCCTACAGTTTAAAAGAAGGGTTTTGTTTTCATTAAAACATCTAAAGATGAGAGAGACAGCCTACAAACACTGAGAAGAGAGGATGGATGAATGGCAAAGAAGCACAGTGGACTACCAGCCAAAAGGAGATGTGTTTTTAATGTGTTTTGTAGGACGTTGATCATAAATTTGATCTATGTGCTGCATCAAAGATGACGTAAGGATTCTTGGGTTATTTCTCTCATTCAGACCTCTAATGAGAGCACAGACTATTAAAATCACCTTTGTATTGCCTCAAGGATCCACTGGAAGCACATTATGGAGTTTGCTGTTATTTATTTTGCTTTATTCTAAAAATCAGCAAAATAAATAATAATGAACAAAAAAATTCAAACTATGCAAAACACATATAATAATGTCCTAGTTCAAGATGACTCATTAGGTTAAGATTATCAGACGGAGCAAAAAGTTTAAAGCCAACTGTAATTGCTGCCACTAAAAGTCACTGGTTATTCTCATATCTCTTTCATAGAAGTTTGAAACGCAACTTCAAGAATGAACTTACCTACAAAATTTACTAGGACCAAAATACTTCAAATAAGCTAAATAATTGTTTAGGTTCTGAAAAGAAGTTTCAAAATTCAGTGACAGGTGACTGGGCCAAGCCAGTTCATATATGATTCCAGAAAACTGCTTTGACACCCTCGTTGAAATGCATAAGAAGCCCCAAAAGAACCCCATTACCAAAATCTAGTACAGCTGTGGGGTCTTCTGTTGTTTGTGTGGGTGGGTGTTGGTTTGTTTGTTTTATCATTGCTAAAGACGGGAATTCTGTGGATAGGAGCGAAAACAAAGCAATGGTGACCAAAAGAGTCCAGTAATGTCTGACATTTTTACTACAGTAAAAATGTTCCAAGATGCTAAAGCCCTTAATCTATTAGCAATATCATCAACAACTAGGTCACTTTTTAAAGTAATCTAGTTTACACACAGCTAAATAAATGCTTAGTATTATTAAGTTTCACCAAACTGTATTATAATATGTTTTAAACCAAGATTTATGGATGTTAGAGAGTCTGTCAGAGATGGCACACGGTACTACAGGGCCCTTCAATTTGATCTGGTTTGATCATTCTTACCACTGTCTAATCAGGTGCCTAGTTACTTTATCTAGGGTCTCTGATACAGGTCCATGAACTGTGCCTCAACAGCTGTTTGCTGTTGTGCTTCTGCCAGAGGTTACTGTCCGCAAAACCCAATCAGCAGAACAGAACACATACACACAGGTATGCTTCCCTGATGCAAAAAATCAGACAGATTTGCTTGCACCTATCTTCATTAATTGTTAGCCTCAACAATTAGACTCTGCATATCAATGACTGTAGTAGAACTATAGCTGCTGCTGCTATAAAGGCAGAAACAAAAATCTGAGGGCAGAGAAACATGTTAAACTGTCACAAGCATGCTCTAGGTGAATATATGTAAATGTCCCTAAAAGCCACACCTCAGCTAGGGTTTGTCAGTACAGCTGTACCAGCCAAGTCTTGAAGAATTAGTTTATAAGAGAGCTCATTAATAGCGTAAGTTGTAACAATTTCCCAGATAAAATGAGAGTAAAAAATTTACTCTGTGCAAGCACAATAGCATCTTCTCTAGGTCAGCACAGATATTTCTTACAATCACAGTTCTCCACTCACTCCTCCCACGGACCTATCTTGGTAAAGCTTTTAAGTACTGGTCATGGCTTTCCACCCATTCAGCCAAATGAGGATACTCTTCACCCTCCTTCATTCTCCTGGAATTCTAAAGAGGCACATGCAGCCAAAAGGCTGATCCTTTAAGTCTCTCTAATTGGGGGAAAAAAAAAGTCAGAAGATGCATATCAAGTAGAGTGTTATCAGATCCATCTGAAAAAATACACTCTTCACCTGTGGATGCTTCAATTAATTCAACAATATGACTACAATTAATATCTCTATTTAAACAAAAGACTTGCTCTCCTGCAGTAAGAGATTGCTTTCACATTCAGATTTGGATTTTGTGTGAAGTATGCAGTTTGTCAGCAAAGTTTTGACTATATCAGTTGTTCCACCCCATTCTGAATAGTGCAGTGTCAAAGTCCACTTCACAAGCAATTCAGTTCTTCAATGCCACACAGCAAAGTCTCTGTAAGGTAAACCAGCTCAGAGGCAATCTTCAGCGTCTGTGAAATTTGTTCAGGTAACTCACGACCTTGAAAACCATTCAGTATATAAAGTTACATGGAGTTACAATTACCTTTATCCTTAAATCTGTCTGGCAAATAGTGTGGGTTAAACAGTAACTTTTTATATTCAAAAATGTTCACCCTCTTCCCTGATATATATACATACAAGTAGGGAAACGGTCTTGGGACAACTGTGTCTAAACAAGACTCCTGCAGCCAGGAAAAGCCCCTTGCAACGCCTTAATCACAGAGGAAGACCCGTGAAATAGAGCACACCATAAGCACACCTACTGCTGTCAAAAGCACAACTACAACCAAATCAAAAGCTGTTTCTGTTTTATCGGCATAGTCACTTCAAACACGTTGAACGAAAGAACGAAACTTGATGTAGTCCTTTTTTTTTTTTTTGTTTAAATGCAGGGCGCTCTTCAGTCACGTTATCAAAAGCAGCTGGAGGAAAAACTTAAGAGCCACACTGACCCACAGGGAAACTCAGCGAGGCAAAGTTTCAAAGTCACACCAATGCTGGGCGCCGCTCTGGCACCGCAAGTAGGACCAGCCTGCACCACTGAAGCAGAGGGCAGGGATGAACGCACGAGCGGGAGGCAAGAGAACCGACAAACGCCGAGAAAAACGGCTTCCCGCTCTCAAGACGACCACCTCCCGCCGGCCCGGCGGCCGCA